TGTTTTATTTCAGAGTAATTCACAGGCTTTGAATTCCAGGAAATCTGAAGTAAAAGTATCTATGTACAAGAGTGATTTTTATACAGGCCTCTGAAATATTCTGGACTGCAGCCCCTCATCTCAGTTTAACCATAAAAGTTCTGCTTTCTCTGACAGGGTAGGCTCTTGCATAAATTTTTCGTTTAAAGAACAAATTTCTTTCCCATATAAAATTTGATCTAAGGATTTCGTTACCACGTCCTGGTGAATACAAGCTTTATTTTTCAATATCTACACTTGAAAATTTCCTGAATATTTTCCCAGTACATGCTTGCTAGAAATAAAAATGCTTTGAAGAAAAAATTGCTAATGTACAAACTATGCTTGAAGTATAAGTGATTTAACCTAAAAATTAAAATTCGAAATAGTAGGTTGTGATAAATATTTCATTGTTGGTCACTGCAATTGCTCACCTACTTTTCAGAAAATCCCTGTATTTTATAAACTTGTCATCAGAAAAAATCTGTAGTTTTACTCTTTTGACTGTTAATTTGATACTGCATTCGAGCAACTTCTTTTTCAGCACATGCTTGTATAATTTCTTATTAGTTGTATTTCTAATATTGCTATAAATAACATGTTTGATTTAAATGAAGATGTATTTTATAAAAATAATGCCTAGGGTTCTGTCAGGTTTAAAAAATCTATTAGTCTTTGTTTTTTTGTTTTTTGTTTTTGTCATGCATGTATTTAAGAGAAATATGCTTTTCCTCTGCATCTAACTCATTTTCTTGATAAAGGGAACTCCTATTGTCTTCACAATTTAAGAAAAAGGAGTGTTACCAACAAGTGTTCCATCTTATCACCATCAGAATGCAGGCTTTAGACAAGTAGATTCATACAAGGCAGCAGAGCCTATTGGTTAAATGCACAGCTTTTAGAACTAATCTGCCTGTTGTGCGATATTACTTACTTGGTCATATTTACTGGCTGTCTGATCCTTAGGCTGTTTATTTGCCCTCTCTGTGCTATAGTTTTTTCATCTGTTAAATGGGCCTAATCTTACTTTCATAAGATTGTTGTAATTATTAAATTAGTTGTTGCATATAAAGGATTAGAACAGTGGGTGGCACAAAGTAAATGACATTTAAAGTTTTTGCATTTTTAATCTTTATATGATTGAAAATGTTTTGTAAAGAGGTAATATAAACAAATTTGTTGCCCTAAGTAAATGGTTAGGGTTTTTTGTTTGTTTGTTTATTGTATAATAATCTCAGTACTCATTAGTTTACAGCAAATATGTATTGTCGTGCTCTGGGGGCTGCAGGGTGCCTGAGACCAAGTTCATCTATGTGAGCGTAGCTGAGAGGTTCTCCTTCAAGCTGCAGGTTGGGTTCATGCCTGTTTTCCCATGACAATTCAGGATCAGAAGAGGGTCCCTGCCTAGTCACATTTGCTAATATGACATGGCCAAAGTCAAAGCCAACTTCACCTACTCAACTGTACTGCAAAATCACATAGCAGCGGGAAGAAGTGAAGAGTTGGGAACCAAAATCCAATCTGCCATACTTTCCTAATAATCGAGGGATTTTATCCAGAATTCTCTGCAAATACTGAATTTTAGATTAATATACTGGTACTGGCTGCATTAAACTAACCCTTTAATATTTACTATAGAGAACATAATTTAACTCATTTAAAATAAAAATAATAACTTTGCATATGGAATATTATAATTTCATCTTACTGAAAATTGTTGATTTATAAAATTGGCCAGACCTATTGATTTTATTAACGTAATCTTGACCTACAAAATGAAAGACAATTTAATACCCAGACCATAAACAAATGGCTTTAGAGACTAGTAAGGCAACATAAATCTGTGAAGCAACTTATCATAAGGAACTCCAAGTGGAGAGAATTGTGGTCAAATTGACAGTATATGGACTATACAAGGTACTCAAATGCAGTGTTTATATTGATCATTCCAAATAAGGTACCATTCATTTGTGGTACCTGACTAAACATATAAACCATTATTTAAATCTCCATTATCTAAAAGGAACAAAAAAAATGACTACCAAATTTTATTTTTGCTATGCTCCAAAATAATACATCTAAGGCATTTTTATCCTACATATTAAAAATAAATTACTACTTTATCATTTGGTCATAAAGTTTTTTTATGCATTTCAGATCGAAGAGGTTCCAGGAGAATTCACCCAGGATGATTTAGCAGAAGATGATGTTATGTTACTAGATGCTTGGGAACAGGTAAAACAGTATTTTGTTCATAACAAAAAAGTGTACTTATAGTTGGGAGCTGACAAAACCTGCTTTGAGAAGTGGCAAGTCTAATAATAAATGGGCCGATGGCTTTAAAGGAGACACAACAGATTTTAGCAAACAACAAAACTGAAATAATTCCACGGCTATCATCTTTGGTTGTATAGCTCTAGGCAAAAAACAAAATGAAAACAAAAACAAAAAACTTCTATTTTTCATTTCTTTGTAGAATTCACGCACGCCTAACTTATCCATTCATTTAACTAATAAATACATTAGTGGATACTGTAAATGGGGGGTGTAACAGGGGGAAATGCTGTGTGGGAGACTGAAGTATTCAGAATTTCTCTTAAAATTTGACAAGAAGTCATAGGATACCCCTCCCCTGGGAAAGAAGCAGACACAGAATAGTTTTCAATCTAGAAAGAAAAGTATGTCACTGTTATATATATCTTTCTTTTTGAGAAAATTAATGGTCATTTGATGTGGCACATCTGTCAGTTTATTTTGTTTTGTTTTTAACCTCTATGTAAACTAACAATAGTGAAAAGGAAAAATGAATATATTAGAAACTAAATGATATAGAACAATTGTGAATTTGGCCTTCTCTTAGAGTCAAACAAAGAAATTGTTACTTTCAGGTCTGCTCTTAATTGCTAAGTTATATTACACCTCCACTTCTTGTTAACTAGACTTACAGTGGTGGTAATCATTTTCAATATATACAAATATCTAATCATTATATTGTACCCCTGAAACTAACATACTGTTATATGTCGATTATACCTTGTACTTTTTATTTACATTACCATGCTGTCATGGTTTGTTCTATGCCCTCCAAGCAAGTATCCCAGCACCTTCAGTTTGAATTAGAACACAATCAAAACTAATTTGACCAAATTTCTCTGTCGTCAAGTGATTTTTAAAGTGATTTAAATATAAAGCAAGTCAGGAAGAATTTTTCAGCATTGAAGTACCAACCTACACATTTAACAAGGAGAAGGATATATACAGAATGTATAATTATATCAGTTTAAAAGAAAACCTCCATATTAAAATGCTAAACATTGTAGTACTTTTACCAGTGTTATAAGACACAATACTGTAAGAGAATACTAGGCTTTAGTCAGGGGTTCATAAAGGAAGTCTGGGGTGCCCATGAACAAGCTGAATGTGCCCTCTCCAGTATAATAATATGGAAATAGTGATTGCCTTACACACTCCATGGGGGTGGGTGGAAAAAAAAAAAAGTGGATAAATTGTTTTTTGAGAAAGTTCACTTTGTAAACTAGAAAACAGTGTATATTCATAAACTATCAGAACATAAAATCTGGAGTCATATTTGTCTGTATGTAAGTTTAGGTATTTCCTAATAAGTGTAAACATTGGAAAAGTGGTTGAACATCTCTCTTCAGTCTCTACATTTCTAACTTCTGAGGTTGTCATGAAGACTAAATTAGCAATGTGTGTAGAACACTTTGCATTGAGTCAACACTCCCCAAACAGTACATACTATTATCATTTCATTTTTCAGATTTTTATTTGGATTGGCAAAGATGCCAATGAAGTTGAGAAGTCAGAATCTCTGAAGTCTGGTAAGTTAGATATCAATTATTCTAAAAAATTTAAATTCACTTGCATTTCACATAGAAATAGTAAAACCTCCATAATTGTGATAACCTAGATATTTTTTAAATTCCTTTTAAGTACGGCTGTTCTTTCTGGCACAATTTTTTGTTATTGAAAAAACATTAATTATGCCATAAGGATAATTTCATACAGTTTGGAATTTTTTCAGGCAATAATGAAACTCTCATGGCACATTCCACAGTAGATGAGAGAAATCTGTAAGGAATTAGTCATAAGAAGCAGCATTTACCTACTTGGGGCAAGGAAAATTTAATTTATTACTTTTATTGGGAAAGTTTTCATTCTATAGTTAAATGAAAACTAACTGAATTTATATGTCTTTATACCTCTTTTTAGCCAAAATGTACCTTGAGACAGACCCTTCTGGAAGAGACAAGAGGACGCCAATTATTATCATAAAACAGGGCTATGAGCCACCCACATTCACAGGATGGTTCCTGGGGTGGGATTCCAGCAAGTGGTAAACGGATTTTTGTAGGAAATAACAAACCAACAAACATTATGGAGCTGTTATGGGGGCAAGAAAAGGAGTTTTATTTGTATATGTTTGACTTTAGAAAATTAACCTCAGCCATATGACTATTTTTCAATGCCTAGTTTTGATTTGAAATCTTTTAAACAGGAATTTTCTTATGTTAATGCTTTAAAATAACCTATACTCTTGTTGTGGACCATTATTAGCTCTGCTGGAAACTGATTTAAATCCTTTTATATGACTTTTTTTTTTAAGGTGAAAAGCTATTCACAAGGTAGGGGACTTAGAATATTTTATAATTCAGGAGCCAGTAGCCAAATTTGTTCTATATATATGCCAGAGAAAAAAGCTGTGATGCCTTTGAGATTATTTTCCTTTCTGTGTGTTGCGTTCAGAAGAGGTGTATATTTGCGGTAATGTTAAGAAGGCTTTCAAAGTTTGTTGTTTTCCTTCTTTTGCCAATGTAACTTTGATACCATTAACTCCTAAGTGTTATTTCTAAGAGAAACTTTACTTTTTTTGTGTTTTTAAAAGCCTCTGGAAAAAAAAACAGCTTTTCCACTAATGCTGCCTTTTATCATTAAAATACATCTCTCTTTGAAATACTTTTTTTGTTATGACATTTTATTCAAATGTGATATGTGAGTTAATCACTCGATTAATTTTAAGGTTAAATCCTTTCATATATAAGTAAATATGAATTTAACAGTTCTTAATTCATCCTCATTAAGTAGTAGTCAAAATTAGACAACTTTTTCATGGTTACTTAAATACTAAAGATTTTAAATATCATATAGTGCATATGAAACCTGAGCCCTGTTAAAAGATAAACAGAGGTATGTTAAAAGTTCTAGAATTTTATTTAACCAAAAATCAACTGGAATCAGGCAATGACAAACCGGAAGTTGCTAGGAGCATTCCACCAGCAAGAATTTTATGAGAGACTTATAGATAAAGCGGAAAACCAATCAAAGAAATTATTGATTGGCTCTACCTTAAAGCCTAGTTGACTATTTGTGACTGGTTGTCCTTAGGTTTCAATTTTGTCACCTTGAAACGTTTATGGGCTTAGATTTTAGTCTGCTTATGTAGGCCCCTATGGCATTAGAGCCACCTCAGTCAATGGCCTCCTCATTTAATTAATTTTATAGCCCCCACAAAACAGGAGTTGGGGCAGAATATGGAGCATCAGTAAAGTAGAAATGAGGTCTGGCAGTAGGTTGGGGGGTGGCTGGTTGGGGAGGGGAAGTAACACTTCCGAGGAAAGGGGAATCATGGAGGAGCAATCTGAGGGATTCTTACTCTCTCTCTGGGGAAATGAAAGGCATGTGTGTCTCAGGTTAGGTCCTGGCATGGGTAGGTGGGCCCTGTTCCATTACGGCCTGAGGTGGACGGTGGTGTGGGGACCTGGGGCTTGTGTGGGTGGTAAGGCAACAGTGAGAAGTTTCTCTTTCCAGGGCTGTTCATTCGGTAAATAGTGAATTGGCATCTATTTGACATCAGGTGCTATTCTAGGCACTTTGGATTTAACGTGAATAAAACAGACAAAATCTCAGTCGTCGTAATGTTTATCTTCCAGAAAAGAGGCTAACAAAAACAATATCAATAAATACATATATTATAAAATGTTAGAAGTTAAGTTGTATAGAGGGAAAAATATAGGGAAGGAGGACAGAAAATGGTAGGCACAGAGTGAAGCGAAGTGCAATTTTAATGGGGTGGTTAGGAAAGACCTTGTTCAGTAGGTAGTATTTGGAGAATTGACAAGGGGAGGGAGTGACCCTTGTGATCACACCCAGGCAGAAGGAATACCAAGTACGATGGCCTGGAGGTGGGAGCATGCGTGACATAATGGGGCTGAAGTCTAAAGAAACAGGGAAATTCTTTAGGGTTTTCTCCTACTGTCAGCACTGGACTAAAAAAAAAAAAAAAAAATCTTAAGCATAACTGCTATTTTAAGCCTGAGCTGTGAAAAGGTTGCTTTCCCAAATCCCAAACCCAATTACTTAGAGGTAGTGATGGTGACATCTGAGAGACAGCCACATCATCAGCACAAGCAATATGGGGAGGGCATATCTATTGAGCAGCATTGCCCCACCCAAACGGGAGGTGGTCACCAAAATTACTTGCTATATCAAGAAGACTTAGGAGCCCTATGTCTAATAAACTGAAGGGAAGCTGGTGGAGAGAAGAGATAAATAAGATTTGAAAAAGTTTCCTGTAAAGGGGGAGCTAGGGAGTTGCTGTATAATTTCACACCCAAAGCTGATATGGCAACATTTGCAATGCATGTAAAATCAGCATGGTGGGGAGAGAAATTGGTCCGCTTCCTAAAAGATGCACATTCCTAAAAGATGCACATTCGGTAGATTATAGAAGGGCCATTGTTCTATGGCATTCTGTAGTCTTAAATTATATGTCAACATAGAAATTAGTCTTTTGAAATGTGGTTTCATACAGCCAATTAGCAAAAATAAGTTTCATAATTTTCTATTTTGGGGATGAAGCTAATGCTTATTAATTTTTAATATATTAAATTTCTTTCATCTCTTCGATTTTCTTCGAAGATTTTTAAAGTGAAAAAAAACAAAACAAATATATTGAGTCTTCACTACTAGAGCTTTACAGACCTTTTCTTGCTTCAAATATATAACACTCACTTTTGAGTGAAATTTATGACTAGAAAACATGTAGAAGAAAGTAGTGAATCCAGGAAAACTAAAAGCTTATCAGAAATAAGTATTCTGGTCAGAAGTAGCACATCTCAGGAATTTCAAATAAGCAATCAGATGACAGTATTAACCTTGAACAAAAGACCAGAAAACAAGGAACCAATGTAAAATGTTGTTTTATTGTCTTAACTATTATTTGCATGTTTTGTTTTGCAATACTATTAGAGAACTGGCTTCAAAATAACATATTTTGGTACTCAGAAGGATAAAATTCTAGTCAAAATAAAGAAACATGTTTGTCTTTTAAGGGAACTTAAAATATACACTAAGAGAAAATATTCTGAGTCATAAAACCAATTTCAACAAATTCGAAGTATTGAAATCATACCATTATGTTCTCTAACCACAATGAATTAAACTAGTAATCAATAAAAGATATGTGGCTAATCCTCAAAATATTTGGATAAATAGAAATTACAAGGGAAATTAGAAAATATTTTTATTTCAATGAAAATTAACAACACAACTTACCAAAATGTGTGGGATACAGCTATCTCAGTGCTTAAACAGAAATTTATAGCATTAAATTCTAACATGGATAAATAAGCCTCAAATCAATGATCTAAGCTTCTATCCTAAACCAAAAGAAAAATTTAAACCCAAAGAAAGCAGAGACAGGGACATGACTAAGAGAGACTAATACAGAAAAAAGGAAGAAAACATAAATTGCTAATATCAGGAAAAAAATAGAAGTATCACTACAGAACCTGTGGGCACTAAAAAGAAAATAAACAGTTTTATGCTTATAAATTTGACATTGATGGAGGGGGCAAATTCCTTGAGAGACAGAAACTGTTAAAGCTCTCTCAGAGAGAAACAAACGTATGTAGAAACATACACATAGATTAAATAAATTTAATTCATAGTTAAAGGCCTTCTGAAAGAAATTGAGCAACCTAAGACTAAAATGGACATTCCTCAATCTTAAAAGGGGTATCTACAAAACATATAGTTTACAATATATCTCAGAGGAGCGGTAGACCAAATTTTTTCCACTAAGATCTGGAACAAAATGTTTGTTCTATTCCATATTTTGCTGGAGGTCCTAGCCAGTCTATTGAGGCAGGGTTTCTCAACCTTGGCTCTACTGACATTTTGACAATTCTCTGTTTTGGGAGCTGTCCTGTGCATTACAGGATTCATTGCATTTCTGGCCTCTGCTCACCAGATGTCAGTAGCACTTTTCTCTCCCCATCCCCACATCCAGTTGAAACAATCAGAAAGATCTCTAGACTTTTCCAAATGCCCTTAGGGAGAGAGGGAAGCAAAACCGCCTCCAGTGGAGAACCACTTTAATAAGGTATGAGAAAGAACGAAAAGGCCCAAAGACTGGAAAGGAAGAAGTACTCTTAGTAAAAGTGATTTGGTCATTAATAGTTTTTAAATGCTCCCAGGTGATTATAATGTGCAGCAAGGCTAGAGGCCTCCTAGAACTTTTGCAAATCAAATGCAGCTCTCTCCAGCGCTCGATTCTGCTTCACCAGCCAGGCAGCATTCTTACACAGGCATCCTCGTTCTATTGAGCTTTGCTTTATTGCGCTTCACAGGGGTTGCATTACTTACAAACTGAAGGCAAGACCCTCCACCAGAAAATGATCGCAACTGGCTTTATTGGAATCCTCAATCATTTCAGTGGTCTGAACTGGAACTTGCAATATCTCCCAGGCATGTTTGTTTTAGAGTTGACTCTTGAACAATGTGGGAATTAGGGGCGTTGAACTCACCCTTACTGCACCCACAGCCCTCTCCCATATGTATTTTCCATACATGGTTGGGAAACTGTGGTCAAGAATGTGAAAACATTGTTTTCCATCCATGGTTGGTTGAATCCGTGGACGTGAAACCCATAAAGAAAAGCCAATGGTATTTATTGAAAAAAACACGTATAATGGACCCATGCAGTTCAAATCCATGTTTAAGCGTCAACTATATTTTCATATGCAGGTATAGCAAAAACTATATTTATTTTTCACAGTATTTGATAACTGGCAAAACATCCTTTTGACTTAAAAGCCTTGTCCATGTCTTACCCTTGCCTCAAATAAAATTTGAGGCAGTGAATATTCTTTTAAAAAATCTACATGTCAACAGTATAAGATTTACATTCTTTTTACTCTAGCAATAGATTTTTATTTTAAAGCATTAAGAATGGAAGTTATCTATTTGTATATCTCTTCAAGTTCTTTATAACAGTGTTCTGTCTGATTAAAACAAAAATTAAGAAATTTTAAAAATACCTTCAGAAATGCATATATCCAAACAACACACTAGAGGGCACCCTTTGTTCACATTAATGAAGAAAAACTGCCAATTCCTGAAAAACACTGAGAAAAACAGTCATATTTAATTTTATTTCCAGTTGAAAAAGAGTGATGTTTCTAAAGAGGTCAACTGTGGCTGTGTTCCTAGTCTAGAAGTATTTTATACTGTTTCCCAATTTTGAGGTTCAATAGAGTGCAATCATATTGATTTTATAACATATTCACTACATGCCAGGCTATCTCGACATCATGTATATCCTGGTGTGTGTGTGTGTGTGTGTGTGTGTGTGTGTGTGTGTGTGTGTGTGTCCTGGTGTATATCCTAATGCTGGTGATATAGCAGAGAGCAAATAATTAAAAAGTGCCCTGCCTTCACGGAGCTATAGTCTGGTGGGTAGAGAAAGAAAAGAAGCAAATACTCAAAAACATATCCTACCATATAGCAATAAGTGTTATAAAGAAAAATAAGGTAAAAGAGGAATTGTGAGACAAAAGATTCTATTTTAGATAGAGTGAATAGGGAAAGCCTCTCCATGGTGACATTTATTTTAGACAGAGACCTGAAGGAAGTAAGGAAATGTGTCTGTGATAGTTAGTTGTATGTGTAACCTT